TAGTTTGAGGTCGGTATATTGACGGTCATAGATTGTACAAACTTGGACTTAATCAATTGATTTTGTATTCTTTGAACTTGTATCGAATTCAGCGACTTGTTTGGATTGAATTTGTTCCCAACCTCAAACTTGGGTAATTAAACCATTGATAATTACAACGATAACAATGACAATCGTGAACGATTGAAACATTTATTTGAATGGCTATAAGTGAAACACTGATTTAGAAATGAATAATTTGCTAAGTAGATAAAGTGATTTGTAAAGCAAATAAAGTAATTTGGAGAGCGAATGGACTGAAAAGACTGATTGTATTTAACATATATGATTGAGAGAATGTGGAAAAGTGATATTTAAGATAAGGCAGCGGAGACGAATATATAGTAGTATGTTATGGCTTAAATAATTTTGTATTGGTTATGTGAATATTGGTTAGCGAATATTTTGAGTTTTGAATATTTTGGATGTGATTTTGTTTTAGGAAGCAGAATTATGAATTTTTGTATTATTTTTTTGCGTTTTGAGAGTGGGAATTTCGCGACTAGTGCTTAGTTGCGACACGCTATTTGTTTTGAGAGATAAAACCGTGTATGGTCTGGTTGTATTCTGAGGAAGGAAATNCTGTGCCTTTTGATTATATTCTAAGGAATGTATCGTCTAATCTGATCATAATTGAAGCAATTTGGTCGGAAATGTTTTATCTTTTGAAATTTATATTGCATTCATAATTGCAATCTGTAAATGTCTTGCACTAGCATTTCGTCATATGTTTCGTCTTTGCGGTTACTATATGAATGAGATAATATGGTTTCATGATCATTTCTCCAATGATTATCCTTGCAACTAGATCATTAACGTATTATTAGCGTGTATATTGTCTTTGATAATATAGATGCAAATAATATTCGACTCAGTAAAATCTTTCACTACCGTCGTCGTGTTTTCACAGCTCACGCGTTCAACCAATGCCGGGACACATGTACATCTTCACGACAAAAATAATGCAATAAATTACGCAGAAACTTACAATTCCAGCATTTTTTCTATTTTCGTTGCTAGGCTTCGAACTGAACAGTGTTATCAGATTGTGTCTTCCACACTCAACAATACTTGAACATAAGTATGTTTTCTATTCATTTGCGTTTCATATGGGTACTCTTCTATTGAACGTAAAGAAACGCTCGAAAAGTGGCAAAAATTTTCCAAGTCCGCGATCCTCAATAACAGTCTCTGATTTCGTCGGCCATTGTTCATATTGCTTTAAAAAAGTATCCCTCTAAGCTAGCTCTGCCAATTATTCCACATCAGAGTAGTATTATTGAGTACTGCGAGGATTGGTAAACCGCAATTCAAAAATAAGACGAACTTGTAAGAATGAATGTGTGATTGGATGATTGTGGGTTCAAGCTTATATTAGGATTTTCCTGTGTTTTGCATATCAAAAAGTGAAGTATGGTAATAAAATGTGAATTGGAAGGTTTGAACTGGTTACGTAGTTGCGACCCGACCGCCGCCTCGATGACCCAGCTACTTCGCATTTTCATGCGTTTTGCATATCGAGGAGTGAATTTTGTAATGCCGTAATATGCTGCCTACTGAACGCGCATAAAAGCCAGAAGTTATTATCGTTATAAGTCTAGTTTGGAAAGTCACCCAGTGATCTCAGCATGCGACAGGCCAACAGATCGAATCAACTGGACCAATCGCATGATCAGTGCACATAGAACTTGCATCATCCATAACCATCGATACTTCGATATTTGTTTCAGTGATAACTTTACTGCTTTCATTTTCGATATCATAATAGCAGGTCCGTCAAAATGTTTTGGACTCGCTTTTTTTTGAACTTTGGATCAATTGGATAATATGCCCAAGTGTTTTGTTATAATATCAGATGTAACTAGGACTAGGCGTTGAACTTTTTATTATGCTGGGATTTTCGTGCCCAACTTGTCAGTCGCTAAAAGATAGATTAAATTGAGTATCGAACGACCATGACATTTTGGTCTTGGAACGGAGTGCAGTTTAGCTCGAACAATGAGCTGCGGTTGGATCATTTTAATTGTAAGTTTAAGTCGAGACGAAAATAAACATTTCTATAACTCAGGTATACGAAGTCTCACCAATAGGTGAATTCTTGTGGTTGGTAGATGCGGTGAGTAGGTTAAATACAACCGAAAATGTTGAAAAGGGTGGGGAAGCGGTGCGATTGGATACATTTCTTTCACTACTGTTGTTATCACAACAATTCATCCGTTGCCTTAATCTTCCCAATGAAGTAACTGATCAACAAGGAAATACCTAAATGATTTTTGATCAGTTTATCTATGAAACCAGATTCGCGACGAGAAGTAAATATGCACATGATAATCCGCTTTGTCTACTGCATCCTTGTGCTATATTTACCGGTTTTGAACGAATATTACTGCGACTTTATCAACAATAACTCAACAACGTTACTGCCAACTCAAACATTGACTACCCCGCCCAAGTAAACGAGTGCATTCGTCGATATTTTGCATTCGCATTCGTTGGCTGTCGCCATATACGCTGACAACAACAATTGCTCTACATCACACCATTTACAGAGCTTACATCATGTTCACTGCATATGCATACACTCAACGTGTAAAATGTTTGTCGATTTGTATTTTTTTTNTTTTTGTAGGATATTTGTAGATATTTCTTAAAGCTTATGGAAAGACCTCATCGGTTAATCAACTCTAGATAGCAATAGAATTCTGTTTTTGAACTTGATCAAAACTGAATTCGTAAATCATTAGCTCATTCTTCTGACATGCATAGATGACTTCTTGCGATTGCATCCAACGGATGTTTTTTAGAATTTGTTCATGAAAATGTCGTGTTTTTGATAACAAAGGGGACACGCAGAGAATTGAGTGCAATTGTTGTAATTAATTCATGCCCATTCCTCTTTTCATTCGTCGCATTATTTGTTCCTCGACGTGTGGCTGCGATTAAAGATGCATCATAAAAGATGTACGTATCTGGTGCTCAATGAAAATTTCAGTTGAATTAAATTTGTCATTCAGTTCAATTGTTGCTCTCGTAGCTATTTGATCTTTAAGACTGTATTCTCTCCAATATCGCCTAACACTTCGTGGTTGAATCTGATATCACCATGATTGAATCCAACTAGTTTGAACCAGGCGGCTGAGAGGTGCATTCAGAAAGAACAGTTCTCTAAGCAGTTGAGATTATTGAATATCCTCAAAAGCAACCATTCAATTATTAGAAATTGATGAAGTTGAATGCATCAGAAATTCTGATACTGTTACAATCAGCTAATCGTAAGAGTGCAAAAACGAATGAGCTGAGCTGACTCAATCACATTCCTACGCACGAAATTTGTAATGCGATTGTGAAGAATACAAGTAATTAGAATTTCTACATAAATTCGTCGAGAATAAATTGTCTCTCATATATAGAATCGTTCAGTTGGAAGTGTAAAACTTGTACTATTTCAACTGGTCGACACGTGGTTATTTGTTTTCATATGTATTCAAAGGCTGACTACTAACGAGCTGATTTGCATTGTAACATAATGTTGAAACCCGATTCGACTCCATCTGATTTCGTTGTTTCGAATACAGTTTACATTCATACCTGTGTTTTCGTTGTTTGATGAATTCGTTGAATTCAAATGTTTGATGAATTCGAATGAACAACTCATGACTCGTCTTCACCTCACGTATTATAACTATAACAATTCGTGTATTCCTTCACTTTCTCTGTGCAAATACTTACCCGCGTTGTATTCAATCGACTGAATGATACCAGTCCTCGAAATACTTTCAGCAACAATCAACTGAATGGAGTTTATGAAAAAAGCAATTGTTGAGGCATGTGAAGGGGTTGAAAATGGTGATGGTGGACCGTTTGGAGCCGTTATTGTTCGAGACGGTTCCATTATAGCAACCGGTCATAACATGGTAAGTTTTGATCGGGCATTACACTCAGATGTTTTGAACGAATAAAAATGGTTTTTTAAAATTGCTCTGTAATGAATGAATCATTCAGTTGGTCACACGGTTAAGGTACTTAAAACGAATGATCCGACGGCTCACGCTGAAGTGACCGCAATTCGGAATGCATGTGCGGTATTGAATGACTTTGATCTACGCGGTTGTCAGCTGTACACATCGTGCTATCCATGTCCAATGTGTATGGGTGCTGCGCTATGGTCACGAGTTGATGTCGTTTATTATGCTGCAACTCCTGATGAGGTTATCCAATAGCATTCATCACCTGATTATTTTCTCGTATCTTCAGTTTCATTCCAACAAAATATTTTCACTTAAATGAAAATAAACGTTTGATTTTTTTCATCTTTCAAGTACAATTTCCCAATTCTACAATCCTTGCACGTAAAGGATTTGTAATTTCATCAAGTTCAAAATGATGGAATGCGGATGAATCAAGAACATCTTATGAAGTGAACTCTTCCTTTCAGGCAGCTCAATCCGGATTTGACGATAAGACTTTCTACGAATTTCTTGCGGATCCGAAATCGAATGGTAAGCACATGATCCAGCAAATACGCGCTGATAACACAATGCAACCATTCAATAACTGGCAACAGAAGGAAACCAAGGTTCAATACTAATGCAAACGCAACGAATTGAAAGCACTAACGCTCAACGAACTGTTGCATAACGCGACAGTAGCGAATGCTGTCAGATTGTGAGCAACTGCTCTCAATTTTGATGGTTACATAACTGAATGAGAATTTGCAACAGAGCGCTGTGGATTTCTCTTCAATGAAATAACCACCCTTAGCATATAATAAATGTATAAAAGTACTGATTGATGGGACCATCTTTGCCTCATATCTCTCTCTCTTGATACTCTACCTTAACTTGTGATGTTGAGAAAGTACTCACTCCTATGTTACACTGTGATTATGCTAGTTTTGGTAATAACTGATAACATTAACTCGCTCATTATTACTATGACTTATTGTCATATTGCATTATATTATATTATACTGTATTACGAAATTTAGGGTTCTAAAGAAGCATTCTGTCAGTTTCCATTGAGGATGAACAACAATGCTTCATACATCAAATGTTTGAATAAATATGAATAGACAGTAGTTAGATAAAGTGTTGCATTGATCTGATGATTACTTCTGGTTCAGAAGAACATTTTATCGATAACAATAAAATTCCTTCAAAAAACCATTTGATGGATATTTTGAAGGAACAAGAAAACAAAACAAAATGAAGCACAAACAACTCGACCAATGGAAAAGAGTACAATGCATCAACCGGAGAGTTCACAGGTAATTCGTTACTGGTGAGAGAACAACAATGATCGAAACAATATTAATGATAATCACCGGAAGGAGGATTACAATGACAACAAAATTTGACTGAAAGAGGAATTGGGCTTAGCGTTGCGTTGCATGCTGTTCCATTCGCAAAAATAACCACTCAAAATATCGTTAACGATGAGCAAATGAAAGGACATCAACAGATAACGAATATCAAAAAAATATTACTCTATTACAATAATTACTGAAGGTCATTGGGCATAATCAACAACTGTCGCTTTTATTGTACAACGCGTATAAAGTACGCAAAAAATTTTCTTGTAATTTCATTTTTTTTTCACATTTCTTTCATAAGTTCAGGTTCGAAAACTTATTGAAATTTAAGTGAATTCAGCTAGAAAATATCAAATCACATTTTTCCAACATTAAGTCGTAAGAAAAATTAGTTACATATTATATTATGTGACGAAAAAATGTTTACGTATCGGAAGAAGAGCAAAATAAATGAACGTCGTCACGTCACATATTAGTTCAAAACCATGAGAAGAAATAGCGAATTTCATATCACGAGAATACACTGGAATGAAATATCATAGAAAACCGAAAAATCACAACTGAACACTTACTCGCCTGAATAATGAAAATTACAGGATGCATGAACATCATTTGAATACTAGGCTAGCACAATAACGGTATTATGAAATGAAATGACGAGAGATCGATCTTATAGAGATCAGACAAAACGTAACATCAGAAACGATAAAAACCCAGCAGAGGATTTATCCGAATAAATTCAACGCTATTTTTTACAAATGAATATGAAACCCAAGAATGAACAATGACGGCAGTTGATGTGAATGTTGCGTTAATCGGGCAAGTTCAGAAAGAACAGAATTTCCTACGTGAATGCTCTACACACAAAGACAAAATGGCTTCAAGAATGTTGACGAAACATGAACTCGTTGAGTTCCAATAATTCTCAACTCCAATGCTGGAAGAAATATGAGCGAAAGTGGTGTGTATTCGATTGTTCAGGTGCAAAAGAGAGCAATGATGCAACGATAACCACAAAAATTATTCACTTGCTCTCAATCAAACAACCAGGTGAACATCGATTACGAATGGAACAAATAAGTGCAGCCAAGTTGGAGGAGTGTAGGAACGCACCTCCTTCCGCAAGGAAGGAGAAAAAAAGGGAACACAGGAGGGAAGGGAGAAGGGGGTGAGAAGAACGAAGTGAAAAAGATAAGGGAGGGAGAAGAAATCCGATGCAAACCTCACGCAGAAACAATCACCTCAAAATGCACCTATATTTTGGTAACAGACTATTTTGCGCCCCCTCCTCCCACATTGAAGAAATCTTGGCTACACCACTGGAACAGAACATTTCTAAAGAAAATCATCACAAAGGTGTAGTGATGACGAGAGAGAATGAATTAAAAAGAGATATATTCTCTGTGTGTGATGAAATCACAATTTACAAAGGCAGAATAAAACCGGGAAAAAACAAGCGAATGCGACCAGGAATGGTATAAACATATGACTGCTATCCTGTTCGGCGTAAGGATCCTCAACTGCCGGTCCTTCTGCATAACGAAGACTGTCTGATGACTTGGTCGAATCTTCTACTTCCTCCTGTTCCTCTTCCACTTCATTTGTCATATCCAACAGAGGTGGAATATCCTTCAAGAGTGATCGAAGTAACAATTAATAAATTGAAAGTTAATCTCATCAACGACTCAAATGATCAAAGTACAATCTAAAATTCAGTCAGAATGCAAAATAAAATGAGCTTCCAATGCATATACGATCAAAGTGGTGTGGGCAGTCATTCAATATCAGATTTCAGCTCTTGCTTTTCATCTCAGGTTTAACATCTGCGAATATAAAAGTTTCTAGTGAAAGAGCACTCAACATGAACTTCCATCATTTTCTAGTTCCTTCTAAAGCTGAGGTAACACCGCCAAAAACATCACGCAATTGAATGGCTAGCCAATTAAACTTTCTTTAGACATCAATATGAAATAATGTAGCAGTAACGGCCAAAGGAAAAAAAGAATATGCAGATACTTAAAAACATATTGAATGAATGTAAACATACGCTTTTCGGGCCACGATACAAATAAAAAGCATTAATCTTTGGATTATCATAAGGACCCTGAAATCATTTGCGAATCAACCGAAATTCGTTTGTTCAACTGTTCAAATGCAGGAGCGAGCATCGATGGAATAGATATCATGGAAAATATACACTTGTTCTCAGAAAACAACCAAACAATCATTTCGTGGTTGAGAATTTCGTTATGTGCGGTCATAGATCAGTGGAATCTTTCAATATATAGTTACTAATAAAAAACTTTCGTTCATCTAAAATGAATTTAGTAATACTATCAAAACAATTTCCTTTAAACAAAGTGTCTCCAAACAAGAATGCTAGAAGAACAAAACCTTGGCAAATGTTAAACGTAATTCACCAGATACATCGAATTGTTCACCATTAATTAATAATGAACCACCTTTCACCTGAAATTTCTTTGCTAAAGTTCTCGACTTCACGATCAATTACTGAAGAATTCAGAATATTCAATTAGAGCTGCTCTCTGAAACAAGGAAATAATTCGAAGAGAAGTAAATGGCGGAACTAAAGAATAAAAAAGTACATAGAAAGTGAAAAGTTCGTCGTGCGCCACACCAATCCCACCGGCCTCCTTCCATATATCCAACTCAGATATAATTGTTTCTCCATTCAACAGGACATCGAAAATCTGTAATCAGCGCAATTTTGTCGTTAACACTGATCACAATCCGAAAATTGCGGTGATAAACAATTTTAGTCAACAACTGAACTGAACATATCTAAATTTTAACTTTATGGGGTGAATTCGACACATTCTTTTCAATATTGCTCTTCCAAATCGCAATTTCAGCCTTTACGACTTTTGTTGCTGTTCCCGAATAAGATCATTTGTATCAATTGTTCTTTCGCATCAATGCATCGATTGCAATAAGCAAACAACAATTCTGCTTCAAAAAAAAATTCAAAAGAAAACTGAACTCTACATAAACTTTAAACTCACTCACTTTTTGCTCGGCAGCTTGAAAATAAACCTCACAAAATTTCATCACCAATGTGTATTCGCCATCGTCCAGTGGTGTTGGAATCTCATACGAAAAATCGTTTGTATCATATCTAAAACGATTGCGAAAATTGTTATCGAGGGCAACAACGAATGCAAAAGCATAAATAACAGTGCGCTCAACTGCTCGTCTGAAATAATTCTACCCTGCCAAATAATCTCGGAATTTTCAATTAATTGTTGGACACATAGAAAAATTTCCACATTTTTCTAGGAGTGAATATTAAAAAATTACTTGAAATGTCACGATTTCATTCAATTATCAAAATCATTATAAATTCACCGACCTCTCGGTCTGATAGAGGATTGCATCACGAGGATCTACTCGAAGTATGTTCAATCGACTACCGTAATCAGATGCTACACCAAGCAATAATGGATCGGCGATATACTCAATACCGTTCACATCTGTATGCGTTTTTCCACCTCAAATTCCAATTATTTCACATCATTTAATATTATTTCGAGAAGCAGAATATCGTATTTGATGTTGATGACAAATTTCAAATACACACAACTATTTAATAAAATATTGTCAACGAAGTTGAATGACATCATAGCACGGAATGAATATCTTTCGTGCTATTCAAACGTTCCAATATTTGATAAATACGTTCCAAACGTGAACCTCAAGTGATCTTTCTCATGAACAGTTATATAAGGGTTATGAAGGTCTTATTTATTCTAATCAACATACGGCTGAACCTAGTCTCAGGCCCACGTTCAGAATTCGGCTGAGCCTCAAATCAGTCTTACGTTACGGCTTGCTCTGGGTTTTGATTAAGGCATGCCGCAGGCATAGATTGAGGCTAATTCCGGACTCCGATTGCAGCTTGTCCCAGCTGAAGCCTCAACCCAAGCTTCAGTCCAGGTTGAGGCTCTGGCTCAACTGAGAATCACAAATGTATTACCAATAAAATTGGTGGTGACGAAACGTCACGTATACTCGATGTTCCTCATTAACTATAGGCAAGTTCATCCAAATGGAGTTCAACAATCAAATTAGATAATCCAAACCAAAATAAAATGTTAACTCACCGCAATTAACAGCGTATATAATATTGGCACCAAGAAAGACATTATCTGATGCAATAATCGTTTGGATAAATAACTGCAGCAAACAGAACCATTCGAGACAAAATTTCGTTGCGATCTGAGACAGAAACAATTCATTCATCGCAAAAATCTGCTTACTTCAACTGACTGATCCTGAAAAAATGTCGTTTGCATCTGACTACACAATGAACTAACTAACTTGGTGAAGATACGAAAGAGCTATGCTGATGAATTCATTCATGCCCAGAACGGTTTCGATTTTGGACTCATTTGGTGGTGTAACGAGTGAAATGCTTCATGTGTTTTACATCAACCCGCACGCAACACTTCCAAGGGTACGACCCCTCCTCTTTGATGAGATACGCAGGGCTGATATAGCTGACCTGCATCCCGCGTTCTGAGATGAGGTAAACCGGGGCTGACTGAAGGTCGTTCACTCGTTACGATTTCGCCTTCTTTGAGTACGCAAATTTGTCTCACAATCAGGTTTTCCGTTTAACTTGCTCATACGGTACCGCGGAAAAGATTTTTGCTAAGTTTGCGAAGCTCAAGGGAAACATGAACCAGGACCGGTTACTAAATTATTATAATTAAAAATTATTCTAGTTACTAAAAACAATGAAAAAACTAGTTGAAGTTGGTAAATTCGAATAAATGAGTTAAATAACGGTGATATCATCAGTTGAGANCAAATTAAGACAACTTTTTTGCAACATCGACAGATAATAAACGACATATTAATTTAATTCAAACGAAACTGTTTACAACCCCAAAAACATAACCGTCCCACGCACTCCACTGCAAAACATCAATCAATTCACTAAGAAACTGCTTCAGGAGGGAGATCTACTTAATCGTCAATTCGTGTCCATGGTAATTGTTCATGTGGCAAATCGTTTCAGAGTGGCCACTTTCAGTGAAAAGCAGAGGGAAGTGCGCTGTACAGAAATCCAAAGGACACAGATTATTCCGAGAAATAAGAATGAGAGTGCATGGGTCCATTTGTCGGGGTTCAATTATCGGTCACCCGAGTGAGTGCATCAGTAGTATGCCTAGAGACAGTTCGCCAAGGGACGAAGCTCACATTTGTCAATCTATTTAACGTTCTACTTGGTTTGAAATTCAAAATTTCAAGAAATAATTGAGATTGATATCCGTCCGACAGGGAAATTTCACGACAAAGGCATGTATCACCTTGTAGCCGATATTCGGTAATTTTTAAAAATGCAATAAACTTCGACCGAGAAGTAACATAGAGTAACGAACGAAGATGCAGAGGAAGAAACTGCATATTTGGAATCCGATTTTCTGAAGAAATCGTGGTATTCTTGAGGAAACCTGAGGAGAGCATTGGCTTGAAGACGGTGACCCTGAAGTAATGGGCAGATTGATCTATAGAGACACAGGGTAATGAAATAAGTGCCGTCGAGTATTTCAGATACCTTCAGAAAATCAATTGTTTCTCTAAATTTAAGCAAAATCGCCCGATACCATATACTCCTCTGAAACTAGAGAATCTGTGGAATCCGATGATGTAAAGAAATGATTATCTTACTTGGCAACCCTGGAGACAACGCTGATTTGAAATTGATGACCCTGATAGTTCTAAAGTAATGTCCAGACTAATCAAAAGCTGCATCTGTAAAAATTGATCAATGTAGATGTCATGTATTGAAGGAAGCGACTCAGATATGAGGGCTGGCTCCAGAATATCGTCATTATTACGTAAAATAATCAATATACTTCGTATATTCTTTCCCGATCCTAAAGAATCTGTCGAATCCGCTTAGTATTATCAGAGTCACCATCTTCAAACTACGCACTCCTAACCTTTGTCCGATAGAATGAGGTTTTTGACACCATCGGATTATTCAGAATCTGCTGTTTCGGGAAGGTATGGTGGTATCTCCTGTTGGTATCTCCACCTCAGGAATTCAATGCTCCTGTAATTTTTAAGCTATGATTCTGATGCCTTAAATGGTAGCGGTGATCAGTGTTGACGTTTATTCAGGTGTTGTTCGTCCGTGACGTGATTCTGATAGGAAGGATCACATTCACCAGTGTCGAAAAAGTTATTGTGAGACTTCATCCTTCATTTGACTTTATAGAATTTGAAGGGAGGAATTAGGAATTCTTTTTGCTGTTTTTCCCTGACAGATATCATCATCACCTTGAAGCGTTCGATTTTCGATATCTAGAAACCGAAAAAGAATGTTTATTCCTACTTGGCTCACTCACTGAGAAGGGGTTGTCGTACGTGTGGTCCAGTATATAACGATCACGTTTATTTTAATAAGTCTGTTCAAGAATTTCTTTGTCTGTCAGTATTTTGCTTCGAAAATGGATATAAGTATGCTTTGACTCCTGCAAGCAAACTGATTGAAATTCATACACTTTTTCGTTCACTCACTTTTAACTGTTTTAACTTTCTCTTCTCAGAGAAAGAGATGAGATATTTTAATTATGTGATTTTGACAAGAAAAGTAAATTCAGTGAATTTTTCAGGGGAGTTTTTTTCCTAATTTTCTCAGGACGGAGGGAATTTCAATTGCTCCAGTGTACATGTCAATTGCGATTACTGAACATCACCACTGACCATGCCAAGTATCATAACTCCCATAACGTAACGTTTGGTGTCAAAGTTTAATACAGTTTTTTAGCCTACCTAATCTCAACTATAATATGGTATGTATCTTGGTTATGAATTTTCCCTGCTGGGTGGGTAACAACTTTAATTATTTGAACTTTTTACCTTAAGCGAAACAGAGAATCTCGAGTACATCTTTAATGCTGCCCACTCTGTACATCTTATTTTATTCCTCTGGATGTGCGTTACAAAAAGATATATAAACTACCCGGATTTATTCCCGTTGAATAAGTAACATTTCTCAAGATCTATCACATACAAATGCGAGTTCTGCCATTTGGCAAACTGTGACTTCGTCCGTACGTAACGAACTGTGTGTATATCTTAGGGATATATATGGCTGAAGTGAATGAGAAAAGAGGTAGGATAAAGTGGAACTGTAATGCGGCTATCAAGATAGGGAATGAGACTGACGGGATATCATGTAAATTAGATGTAAGTGTGGAATAAGGAATATGGGAAATGCATGGAATAAACGAGCATAGAAGTTTTTATCGACATGTTGCGCACGATTTATATTTTCCCACCCACAACTGTGTTTTTGAATGGGCGTACTCACTAAGCTGAGTGTATCTCCGCGCGTGTGTATGTTGCCCTTTTGCTGTTACTAATTCAATCTCATTCCTTTTTTCTTCAAGTCATCTGTATTCTATCCGTTTTCCCAGTATACAATTTCAGTGCCTTATGAACTGAACCAAATGACGATCACCTTTCTGTTGAAATATTAGTGATTTCGCGAAGCGCAGATAGTCATAAACATCTATAGTTACCCTACGTCAGATCATAGTGATATGAATTCATATTTAGTCGTCCAGCACCCCGTTAAACTATTCGCAACCATATCCAATTTCCGTTGATCTAAACTGCAGGATCACCTTTTTGTTGTCCTGTCCCACTTGTCGTTTGCTCCAGTCACATTTTATATTCAAATGGAAATTTGCACGAAATACTGTTTTGTCTTCAGCAACCTAAACCACAAAAGTGTCCCAGTCTTTCGTTAAGCGCCTATTTTATCTTCAGGTGTCATCGAATTAGTGGGTACCAAACAAAACGAAATTTTCGCTGACACCGTATCAAAATGAGCATTCCATGGTTTGTTCAGTTTTTACCTTAAATTCGTGAAGTTTTTATCAAATTATATACTCCTTCGTAGTTATATGATTGTGCACCTATGCAGGAAACACCCATTATATGCCGACTTTGCGCGAGGATGACTTGTGAGATGGGAAAGCTCGCTCATCTTGCATAAAAGTAGTTAAAACATGAATGATCTCATTAATAAAATGTTAGTTTATTAATTGTAGGATCGAGAAATATCGACCACAGAAACTGGAAGATATCGTTGGTAATAAATCAACAATACAACGATTGGGCATTTTCGCAAAACAGGGCAATCTTCCGAATATTATCATATCGGTTGATTATTACAAATTCTCTCTAACTAAAAATGATACTTCTTATAAAAAACTTTCACCAAATAATTATTTGGTGAAAGTTTTGTAAGGTTTTTTTTCGCCTACATAAATAAACAATATACCGGAAGGCTTAACTGGTTGAGCAGTTCATTGGTTGATAGCCAAATATTCAAGAAAAATATTATAAGACATATATTCAAACGTGAATTGTGCAGGGTCCACCAGGATGCGGTAAAACAACAAGTATTTGGGCGTTAGCTCGAGAATTATTGGGTGCACAAGTAAAAGAAGCGTGCCTTGAACTGAATGCTTCCGATGATAGGTCCTTGATTTGATTCAATTTTCGTTTATATTTTCCGTCACTTTGGAAGTTTTTGGTGCATTATTTCTTGCTTCATTCATTTAATTGGTGAGGAGCATCCAGTTACGCAAAATCGAAATGATTAATCAGTGAATGGTGTATCGATGCGGTTCCAGTTCATTATTTCTCAACAATTTTTATCTGATTTGTCGAAACCATAGTTCGATATAACAATTTTGAATGTATTTAGCATTGCTGCTAAGCAGTTGACTCAACAATTCGTCTTGACATATCAATCGTTCGTTCACAAGCGAGAAATAATATGAGTCATTTGAGCATTTGAAGAGGACGAAAAATTGGTCAAGTTGAACGAAAAGAAATCGTGATAATTGCAGGGGTATCGATGTTGTCCGTAATAAAATCAAAAGTTTTGCTCAAACGAAAGTCTCGCTGCCGGAGGGTCGTCATAAGATAGTGATTCTTGATGAAGCAGATTCGATGACTGAAGGCGCCCAACAGGCATTACGTCGAACGATGGAAGTTTTCAGTAGAACAACTCGTTTTGCATTGGCTTGTAATCAGTCGGATAAAATTATTGGTTTGTTTTCTTGATTTTACTTTTCAAATGTTCGCTTTTGTTGATTGTTACAGTTGTTTGAAGGTAAATATTGTGTTTTCCGCTCTTGCCATCAGTATGTTCAACTATGTATCCGATATTCTAAAAGAAATTTCGTGCCACTACTTGATTAGTTGACCTTTCAAATGGTTGAACTTTACTAGTTCAAGATCCGTCAGTTTTTAAAAATGAATTGAATGTTCAATGGCAAATCCTTGTCAGTTTCATTGAATAATATGCTTTGGGCCATTTATTCAGAGGAAGTTAATTTTCAAATAATGATTATCAGAGTATATTCTCACTGAATCATTCAGAACCAATCCAATCCCGTTGTGCAATACTACGCTTTTCGAAACTCAGTGATGAGGAAGTAGCTGCTAGGCTTCTAAAAGTTTGCGATTATGAAAAGGTTACTTATGACAATTCTGGAATTGACGCTCTCATCTTTACGGCGCAAGGTGATATGAGACAGGTTAAGTCGTTGCTTGAATCTTTGTTTTTATGCAAATGCATTCATTTTGAATCGATATGGCATCTTTACAAGAGAATTATGTTGTGTTCCCAACGAACTATGGTATAAAGATCATATTTATTTACTTCTTATCTATATAATTAATATATTATAACAATACATTCTATTCCAGGCTCTGAATAATCTTCAGTGTACCGTGGCAGGTTTCGAGCAGGTCAATTCAGAAAATGTGTTGAAGGTTTGATGATCGTGACTACTGCTAATTACTTGTATAAATATAATTTTGAATATCGCTTATCGATTGGTTGATCGAGATTTACGTTCTATTCCAGTTTTGAGACATAAATAATTCCATCGTCTGTATGAGTGGTGACCACAAAACGAGTGTAATTTTGAAGGTTTGTGATGAACCACACCCGGGAATGATAAAGAGGATGCTGGAATTGTGTGTGCAAGAGGATTTTATTGAGGCAAATCAAATAATGCAGAGTCTTTATAAAATGGGACATTCATCCGAGGATATCTTATCGAATACGTTTCGAGTTTGTAAAACTGTCAACATACCTGAATATCTCAAAATGGAGTTCATCAAGGTGGGAAAATGCGGATTTTATTTTGCATTGACTCGAATTAAATTACTCATTTACCTACCGTTCAGTTTTCTCATAAAAAGAAGAGGGTCAATAAATCACCCAAAAAATCAATGAAGGTGACGTTCGAATGGCAGTCTCTTGCAAAAGCCGATTCGTGTTGTGCTGTCAAAACAGAAGATTTTGTATGAGAATTTGTTCAAAATCTCATTTGTAAAATATATTTGTCGGTTACAATTTTCCCATTTCCGCTTTTGGGTTGCCATTGTATCGAATATTGCAGTTTATATTTTACTGCGTAATAATGAATGTTATGTGGTTAATAAGAAAGGAATGAAATTAGTTCTCGTTTGCAGGAAATTGGTCTTTGCCATGCTCGTGCCGTCGAAGGTATCACCTCATCGTTACAACTGTCAGGCTTAGTGGCTCAACTTTGTCTGAAACAAAAAGGTGCATCTTGAGTTGGTGCTGCAAGTAAATCGATCTCATATTTCGCTTATGGACCTCATTTCTAAAAAAATTTTCTTTTAAATTGAGTGGGTGAATGCGTATGCTTGACGCTGAATTCTTAGTTGAATTCTGTGGGAAAGTGATTCATTACGAAAATCATTGCAAATAAAATCATATTCAAATCGATGCACTGTAATATTGCTTTTCTCTTTCGATTTCTATGTAATATTTTGAGGTTCTGAATGATGAAATTTGTTCGGAAATAAGAACTGTTGAGTAAGTAGTAAACATGAGTAGCGAATATCGAATAGTGGTCATTTCGATCGTTTCTTGGTTCATTTTGTCTTGCTTTTTAATCGTGTAATCGTTTCTCGTTTCAACTTCTCGCCAAAGGGTTAGCGATAAATGATGGGAAAACTAGTGAAACTCGAATGACCTGAAAAAATAGCTGCATCAACTTCCATCAGAAGTTAGCTTTTTATGTTCTCGACGGGTGACAGAAGATCTAAGTCAAGCCACAGAGAAGTCGAACGTGGTTCTTTGCAGAACAATTTCTGTAAAGATCACATAAACAACAGGCGGATAGTTGCATGGCCTAATGGCATTAGCAAAATCAGAAGACGAAATTTCTAGTATATATCACGTTATTGAGCGTCATCAGCACTGTGAGGTATATCATTGATTGTCACTTATCGATAACGAAGTCAAAACTCGTTTTCATCCTTCTTCGTAAAACGAGCAATATAGGATGTGAATTACTTCCAAGTTTGGTTGATGATAAAGCGGTTGTAACAAAATTAATGTATAAAATCTTCCCAAAGCATCAATTTCACTTATCCTCAAAACACTAGCTTCTTACTAACTTTCTTTAAAGTACATTGTCACACTGGTCTTTGACACAAGTGAACCAAACTGAAGTGATGGGAAAACTAGTGAAACATATCATTTTCGAAAAATCGTATTATTTTCCGTATATCATGTCCAAAACCTGTCTTATGATCATTTCACATTTTGTCCCATCATCCTGCGATCGCTTCATGTTGACGGAAAATGCTTTACCTCATCTGATTTTTGTTGATATCATTTCATGAAGAAAGTGATTATACGAGTTCCGTAGCTAGAATATGAAATTTTTATATGGGCGAGGAGCATTTTAATTGTTCTTCAAGGTAGAGGGCTGATATGCTAATCGCAAGCGGGAGGAAAATGTCCGCAGTTCATCTACGTCTTATTTGAATTTTCATGATAAACGTTGATGTGGAACACTATATTTGCCACTTCAAAACATCGGACCTCGAGGAAAACTGGAAGGGATACTCTCCCCCTTTCTTCCCCCACAGCTTAACTCATGGCTACAGGGTCGAAAGGAATCTTGGTGGAAGAAAATACTGTTCTTAAAAGGGTATTGGAGGCCTCTACAACAATAGTGACGGTATACTTTCATTTAAGATAATAGCTCAGAGTTGCACTCGGTTGTTGACTAAGTTACATCAGAAAGGTCATCACCGGGACAAGAAACTAATATATCATAACCAAGTCCTAATGGAAAATTTCAAAGATATTGGAATTTCATTAAGAGATAATTTCTCGAGGCATTGCTCCACAATTCACAGAAAGAGACTTCCATTCTGATAAGAACAGCCTATCAATGGAACTGCTGATATTCTACTTTATCAATATAAATTTATGCGACTACAAACTTGGTCGGCTGGAACAAATTAAATCGACTGATTACTTTGGAGAACCGTGCTTCGATTCAAGAACAAATTGTCAGAACTCACTATGTTTGCAAACTGATTGAGAGCATCCACTGGATCGCGGATAATGTAGATTTGGAATCTTATAGCTAATTCTCCGAAAGTATCCCATTGAACTGTTCGACCACCCCACATGTACGACAATAGTCTCATTTTATAATGATGCATTCCTTCATATCATCATGAATATGACAGTAATAATGATAATGATAAAAACAAAAATAATAATAATTATTGTTATTATTATTACAATAATACTGATAATGATAATGTTTGCATAAATGAATACGAACTGGTCAGTATGTGGAAATGCGCAATCATTGTTAGTAACTATCTGATCGAATAGATAGTTGAATCAGTGATTTGGTCAGTGTGACCAAATCAGAGGGGATTGTACCGAAATGGCATCAACAGGAACGGTGCCACAGACTGATAAGTGCGATAAGGATCGTATGCCGTCAGTTGGTGATACGTTGAAAGCCCAACGTCAAACTTATAAAATTGTTGCGCTAATTGGTGAGGGTGGTTACGGTAGTGTTTATGAAGCAGTTGATAATGAGAGGTTTGTTTTACGTTGCATCGCCGATAAATTATGTCGAGTATTATATCGTTTCATATTCACACCCTTCATTGCTTCTGATCAGTGTTCTGCAAAATTTTCTGATTCGCGGCGTTTGATTTTTTTTTGACGAAGTCAAGGTTTTTCGCTGATTTTCCAAATCAGTATGAAGACTTTACGGCAGCTTCTGTCATCGACATACATCTTTTGAATTATTAGCTGTATTCAACCAAAAAACATTCCAAGTTGTTGTACGGAAACGAGATAGAATATGTTCATCCTTACGATTAATAATAAACAACTGAAAATGTTGATTTAGACACGTCGCAATTAAAGCAGAGAAATACAGTAAATCAATGTTACATGTTGAAATAAGTGCAATGAAAGCAGCTGCGCGAGTTCATGCCGAACATATATGTGAACTCATCGATTACGTTAGTTGTTTTTATGAGTTAATAATTATTAATTATCAATAAAAATGACGCCAAACTGAATGTGTTGAGTTTAAGCAAAAATTTTCGTATAGTATCTGCGTAATACTTCACCTTGGAAACAAAACTGGCCTGGAATACAAAACTACAAGCGTAACCTCTAACATCATCCAAGAGGAGTTGTTTTTTTCGAACGTGTGTATCGTTGAAGTGAGAACTGAAAATATTCTCTGACGTGATCATAGAATTGCACTGTGCTGCAAAATGTGACTTCTTGATCAAGAAATCAATGGAGTCGGAAAAAACTGTTCAATTATTTTTAACTGCAGGGTTCTGAAAAACCACAATATATGTTCATTGTAATGACGCTGTTAGGAAAAGATTTGCATAAATTAAGAAATGAACAATGTGAAAGAAGATTTTCGTTGAGTACGGCCGTTAGAGTGGGAATACAAACACTGAAATCAGTTGAAGAAATACATCGGTTTGATAATTCTCTGATTGTTTTTATATTCATTTTTCAGTAGACTGTGTGTAGGTGCGAGTAACAATTAAGTACAAAGTGCAGGAAAGAAAACCCGCATTTTGGATTTTTTTNTTTTTTTGAAACACTGGAGCAACAAGAATGGTATTCCATCACATCCAAGAGTTAGAACATAAATTTCATCAACAAAAGGCAGCTTGTTAATTCAATCGCAATTGTAGAGGAGGATACCTTTCGCGTGATATTAAACCTGGGAATTTTGCCGTTGGATTGCGTGATAATGAACAACATAAAACAATATTTTTATTCGACTTTGGCCTTGCCAAAAAATATGTGGATAAGGTTTGTTTAGTTGTTGAGCAGATTCATTCGACAGCAAATTTTGCAGTCATTATTGAATTGGCTGTACATAAATGATCACTAACGCCAGTAAGTTTTGTGATCAAGTTTAGAATGGAAAGCATTATGCGTGTCGAGGAGAAGTGGGATGGCGAGGTACGACGAGATATGGCTCATTGAGGGCACACTTACGTCTTGATTTAGGTAGACGTGATGACTTAGAATCATGGTTGTATATGATCGTTGAAATTACAAAAGGCTCTCTGCCATGGAGGCGTGTCAAAGGTTATTTATTAAAGCATTGCCGCTTAACAGTATACGGAATTCAGTTTTCTAATGATGTACATTAAACGTTAAAAATCAGTCCTTGTGATCTCATTGATGATGGGTTAACGTTTCCGTAGTTTGTTAACATTTGTTTCAATATGAACAGTCGGCTAATAGTTGAGCATCGCTTCAAGCTTAACCTGATTACAGTACGGCCCATAACACATATTTATTTTGAGTGTGTAAGTTCAATCGGAAACAGAAGGTCACTACACTGATGCATGCTGCTTGTCAGAGCATAATGAAGTTTACACTTCGCATACTTGAATTCAATTTGCTGTTCCATCGCATAGCGTGTAACGCGTATAATGCGTTGCGCATTCATGTATTGCGTATGACGGATTAATTTAGTGTTCTTTACCCGATGCTTCATTGTTCAATGACAAACCCCTCCAGTGATAGGTAGTATAAATGCGACGGTAGATTATAAGTGGAGTTTTAGAACGCATTGGTGTACAAGCGGGTAAAGAGATGGCCAGAGAGGGTGGACGTGCGCAGTTCTTGCATAACTGTCCGAAACAATACGATGCAATGTTAACGCATATTGATGCACTCAAATTCGAAGATGATCCGAAATATGACGATATTTATCGCACTCTCGATGAAGTTCGTTGGCTATTCATCTCCGTAATAGTTGTTTTTCTCAGTTTCCTACTGTCAAGATAGATTCGTCATGATAGTTGTGACAGGTTTCAATTGCAATTGATCTGTTGAGTGTAGTCAATTCAGAGCGCTAATACAACTAGAATTGTAGTTTTAGATCAAAGGGTTTGACAAATAAAGCCCATTAACCATTCTCACTCAGACCGCATAATTGTTTATTGATATGCATGAAATGCTGATTGTGTCATAACAAATTCTGCTATAATCGTAACAAATTTCGTCCTCAAACTTAGATTATTAAGCTGTGATATTGTCTGAATACTTAATGATCATTATTTTACAGCCCATTTTAGTTATAACATCTATTAAAGGTCCACGAAACAATATATCAATTTAGATTATGACATCAATTTCCAAAAGATTACAAAACATACTAATGAAGAAAACATTGATAGTGAAAGAAATAATAACAATAATAAGCACTCTACTAAAATAACAGATCCGAAGAGAGAGAGGTATTCGTATGCATTCAAGATTCGATTGGGAATCAGATGCCACATCAACACGTTCAACAACGTTGAGTATATCACCACCTTCAGATGCATCCCAACATGCCCATAAAGAAGATCTTTTAAAGCGAACAGAAGGTGATCGCAATGATACCAAAGATAATGCTCTTCGCGACTTGAAAGCATCGCAATAATGCCTTTCATCATTCTTAACTATGCTATTTTCATCTTCTNGCTATACATTTCTGCGATATCTGTAAATGTTCATTACAGCTGCGCAATCGACTTACATGCATTTATTTATAAACATGAATGACTCGGCAGCATACTGAATATTTTTTTGAATCGTTACAGTAATTAGAGACACCCGTTGAATTGTTGAAATATTTCATATTATGAGATGCGTGTTGTGATCACTTTCATCTGTCAAGTTATACGATATTAGCGTCACTCAAAAGCTTCCTTTGCTTTGCTCATGATAGCAGTTCCCGCATGCGTTAAATCAATAAATTATGGTGAACAATTAATCTGTAAATTGCTTTAGAAATCAAATGCGAAAAATATATTATCGACTGTATTGATTTCATTGCAGAGGATTTTATTCAGCTCATAAATTTTTCACCGTGTTTAATTAGTTCACTCAATTTTTATGTTTCACATTATTCCATGTAATCTTGCTGTTGTTTCTAATGGAAAATATAATTTTATTGATTATCGATTTTTCTGTTTAGCCGTAAAATTAATGATCTCGTTTATATATTTTGAACACGTTCTATAATTTGCTTCTCAACGATAAACTGTATTCGCACAATTGTATCCTTTCATGTTCTCTTGATGAGGTTTAGAGCATTGAATTCTTGAATCACTAATCACTAAATTCATTCAATATATCTTTTCTCCTTATCATCAACCAACATTTTCTACTTCAATCGACCATAATGTCGAAATTAAATACAGTGTCAAACAAATCCATTCAAAAATGGAACAATTTCCATAGCACAACCTATCAACCACAGATTAATTCCACAGCAAACGTCTAAGAATCTAAAGAATTCATTATTGCAAAATCAATAATGACTGTAGCTCTAAGGATATATACAAGGGAGGTAAAAATGCTCAGATTTGTGGAACTAACAAGCACAGGAAAATGGGTTATTAGGATTGTTCTTACTAACTCTAATCGACTTCGTTTGTTCTGCATCTAGCGGTAAAAACTAGTATGACGGCTGTTAGTTTATTAGATTCAACGTAGTTTGTAAATTACTGGAGAACGTTAACATACGAATGAGTGGTTACTAAACATTGAACTTAACTAAGTAGTATTGACAGCGTTTCTACTGGCTGCTGGATGGAGTGAACTAAGGTTT